GTTTCATTTTTTCCCCCTCAAGCACAAAGTCCACCAGCGGTTTCCAAGTAGAAACAAAAGTAATCATTTTTTTTTCTTTAATCATAGCTGTCAGTTTAGCCATCTCAGCTAACTCCATCAACTTTTGCAGACTTTCTGCCACTGTGGTCATAAAATGGCCAGCAGGTAGCATCACCTGCCCAGGTGTTTGTGCTCAGATTGTCAGGAAATTCTGCCCCCCCCAGGTCTCTCTCAGCAAGTCCTTCCCTGCTTGGCCAAGGCAAAGGTCACTCCAGATTTGAAGGCTTCACTGCTTGCTCTGAGTGTTCCTCTTTACACAAATCCTCATGCAACAAACCACCTTGTTCAAGCCTGTGGTTACAACACTTGGAATCCGGCATCCAGTTTTGGTCACCACGATGTAAAAAAGATGCAGAGACTCTGGAAAGAGTGCAGAGAAGAGCAACAAAGAGGATTCGGGGACTGGAGGCTAAAACCTATGAAGGACGGTTGCAGGAACTGGGCATGGCTAGTCTAGTGAAGAGAAGGACTAGGGGTGACGTGATAGCAGTCTTCCAATATCTCAAGAGTTGCCACAAAGAAGAGCTAAATTTCCAAAGCCCCTGAAGGCAGGACAAGAAGCAATGGGTGGAAACTAATCAAGGAGAGAAGCAACTTGGAACTAAGGAGAAATTTCCCGACAGTTAGAATAATTAATCAGTGGAACAACTTGCCTCCAGAAGTCGTGAATGCTCCAACACCGGAAATTTTTAAGAACATGTTGGATCACCATTTGTTTGAAATGGTATAGGGTTTCCTGCCTAAGCAGGGGGTTGGACTAGAAGACCTCCAAGGTCCCTTCCAACTCTGTTATTCTATTCACACGGATCCTCCTTAAAGGACTCTTGTGGCTGTGGTGAAGAGCCCTTCCAGAGAGTGAGAGTTGGAGGCTTCTCACCTCTGCCTGAGAAAAGGTGGGGATGGGGTTATTATATTTTATTAATTTATTACACAATTTTTCTCTTTTATTAGTTTGTTTTATACATGAGGTTTTCATATTCCTGTGAGCCCCCATGTGTGAATAGGTGGCAATAGAAATTTCCTAAAATAAATAAACAAAATTATCACATCTCAGCTTGCCAACGAACTGTGAGGGGAGGGAAAGGGAGACAGAACATGGCCCAGACATCAAGATGTCAGTATGAGAACCAAGGACACTTAGGCAGGTATTTGCAGAAGCCCCAAAGACTTTCCCATAACAATATCCAGAGACGGCATTGGACAATGTGACCTCAGCTAATTGGTGGGTGGTAGAATTTGAACTTTAACTAGAGGCATTAGCACGGGAAAGATCTAGATCTGGTTTTGCCTTCAAACATGCCGAAATGATGCACTCAATAAAGTTTTGCATAGAGAGATTGGATCGTCTCGATCGTGCTTGCCTTGATTGAGTGCGTCCGTCCGTCGGAACCTGGACACATAGAACATCAGAGTGGGAAGGGACCTTTGAGGTCTTCTAGTCCAATCCCCTACTCAAGCAGCAGACCCTGGCCTCTACCATTCTGGACAAATGGCTGCCCATGAATAGGAAGGTTTGGCACAAGGCAGCTTCTGCTCCCTGTTTGCAGTATTGCTTGTTCCTTGTTTATTTATCTGTCCTTGTTCCTCCTCAACCAGGGTTGGTTAACAGATGGGTGGTGAGGGAGGGGCTCTCTGGGCTGATTAGGGTTCTCTGCTGGCAGTCAGAAGAACCAACGGAAACTTCTAAATTTCACAACACAGAGAGAGCTGCAACTGCAGTGAAAGGTGGATTTGGATTAGGCAAGATCTGAGAACGCGGGAGGAGTCTAAGAAGTCTATTGCATATCAATAAGCCTCATCGATACCAAACATTAAGAACAGCATTCAAATAACAACTGCTGGGATTTTGCAGGATTGCAACTGGTGTGGCAGGGCTGCTCCATTGCAGTCCAGATGTGGGGAGGGAGGCTGGCTTGGCCCTGGCTCTCAGGTAAATCCTGCAAAGAGGGAAGAGAAAATTTATTTATTTATTTATTTTATTTATTTAATGCAATTTATATGCCGCCCTATCTCCGAGGACTCAGGGCGGCTCACAACAGTAAAATGCAAAGTTCCTTATTAAAACGATATAAAATCAAAATCCAATTTAAAACAGTTTAAAAATTCATTAAAAACCCCCATCAGTCCAGGCTACGGAACAGCCAGGTCTTCAACTCGCGGCGGAACGAGCGAAGGTCTGGGGCCATCCAGAGCTCCAAAGGAAGTTGGTTCCAGAGGGTGGGTGCGCCCACAGAGAAAACTCTCCCCCTGGGGGTCGCCAGCCGGTACTGTCTGGCTGACGGCACCTGAGGAGGCCCTGTCTGTGGGAACGCACCGGGCGATTGGGGATTGTCGCTGGCTGCAGGGAGTCTGACAGATATCCCGGGCCTAGGCCATGAAGGGCTTTATATGTGATAACCAGCACCTTGAACCTCACCCGAAGTACTCAAGATGGTAGGTGACCAGCGCATGAGTAACGGTGCGTAGGGCATCTTGGTCCAAGTAAGGGCGCAACTGTCGCACAAGGCGGACCTGGGCAAATGCCCAACTGGTCACGGTCGTCACATGGTCTTCCAGAGACAACCGTGAATTCAGGAGGACACCCAAGTTGCGGGCCCTATCCACAGGGGGTAACACCTCACCCCTGATGGTCAACGATGGAATATCGATGGAACAAGATGCCGGTACCCACAGCCACTCGGTCTTGGTGGGGTTGAGTCGGAGCCTTTTCCTCCCCATCCAGGTCCGTACCGTTTGCAGGCAACGGGACATCACGTTGAGGGCATCACTGGGCTGGTTTGGGGTGGATATAAAAAGCTGGGTATCATCAGCGTACTGATGATACCGTACCCCAAAACCACGGATGATCTTTCGGCTTCATATAGATGTTGAACAGGAGAGGCGAGAGGACCGACCCCTGGGGCACCCCACAGGTGAGGGGCCTCATAGCCGACCTCTGCCCCCCTGCCAACACCGCTTGTGTACGGCCCGAGAGATAGGAGGAGAACCACCGTAAAACGGTGCCTCCCACTGCCAACCCCTTGAGCTGTCGCAGCAAGATACCATGGTCGATGGGTATCTTGCTAAATTGAGCTAAATTGGTAGCTCACTGTTCATGTGCTGGGTACTAGTTGCTCTCTGAGGCTGGTGGTTTCCTTGCACACATTTCATTACACAACTGGCTAGAATCATCAGTGTTGGAAGGTAGTCAGGTTTGAGGAGGAGGAGGAGGAGGAGGAGGAGGAGGAGGAGGCCTGTAGGATCCCCTGTGCTCTCTGAACTTGGTGGTCTTCTTGCAGCTGTTTTCTGAATCCTAACAAGTAACGTCATGGGAGTGGGGATCTGGGGAAGGTGAGGAGAGCCAGAAGGAGGTGGCCCTGCACAGCTTCATGGTGCCCAAACAGCAGGAATGCCAGGCAGATGGACCTTTAAGTCCTGCTTTGAGGAAGTGAGAAGATCCCTTGCAGGAACAAGAGGAAATGGAAGGATGTCGAGATCTCTTTCTCAAGGCAATGAACCGTTGGCTTTGCCCATGTCAGGAAGGACCAACAGTTGAGGTAACACCTGTCATCTGTGCCAAGGGAGGACTCTTGTGCTTGAGCTGGTGAGCCCTGGGGCTGCTTGTCTTTCCTGGATCCTGGCTTACACAACAGTGTCCTGGGTTACAAAGCCTGTTTGCATGTTGGCATCACAAAGTGTACCACGGCAAAAGGGATCGGAAGGGCCGTCCTGAGAGAGTCGTGTGCCCCTCACATGGTCCCGAGGGTCCTTCGGTCTCCTGCAGCCTGGAAGAGCGGTTTCTTTTCATGCTGTGGAAATTGATGGGTGGAGGGTGGAAATGGATGCTTTTCGATCTGCTGAGAAATTAATTCCTTCCCATTGTGGAAGTTATTGGTTAATTATGAACAGAAGGCTTGCAAAGGAGATATTTTGTGGAAATAATAACACATGCATAAAACATACACATTCTACACGTCCTTGTATATCTAATCATTTTTTTGCCATTCCATTTTCTTGTTCTCTGAGCTTGGTTTTTTTCTTGCAGATGTTTCATTACCCATCTGGGGAACAACATCAGTGTGCTAGAAGGGAGGAGGTTGTCAACTTGCAAAGCTTTCCTGACCTGCTCCCGAGTTGCCATAGGCAGGGGGATGGGAAATCGTACCTCCCAGCTGTACAGAGGAATTCACAGTCAAAACAAAACACATCCTAGCCACCCGAAGGCAAGGCCATCTCCACAGAGACCCACAATGGCAGAAGGGAGTGACTTCTATGACCCACACAAATTGCTTCATTGGGGAACGGTCATTGGGGAATGTGACTGATGACACACCGTGGGGGGAGGGGGCAACAGGGTCAGAGGCAAGGCGCGAACTGGGTGAAGTCAGAGTTGGCTTTGCTTGGTCTGTGCCGATATGGCGCTCCTAATAAACAACTGGATTTTTCTTGCTAAAAGGCTTGGGGCTCCTGCTTTTATTAGGGCATCGGTCGGAACCTTGGGAGGAGGAGGGGGAGGAGAAAGAGGAGGAGGAGGAGGAAGACTCATAGCTTGATTTGGTTATGCTGCATGGACTTTGGAGTGTGCCTGGATTTCAGACTTTGTGTGTTGTGGATTTGTGGACTTTTGCCTTCATTCTTGGACTTTGCGACCGGACCTAGACCGAAGAGTACCAGACTGAAGAGAACTTCACATTTGGTGGGAGTGGGAACCTGGAGAATAAGACTTCTGTCTTGGAGGGCCTCGTGTGTGAGGGAGGGACTGGAACAGAGCAACAGGGACCTGTTTAGCTTTCCCCACACTGGCCACTCAATGCGACTCTGAATGTTGTCACCTCTTGTTCAATCAACTTATGAAAGAGAAACGAATTCAAATTGTCTCTGCATTACAACTGCTTCCTGGATGTGAAATTTCCAGATGGGAGAATAAATAGAGCCAGAAGCCCAAGGGTGGGGCAGATGGTTTCATCATGTCTTCTGGAGGTCTTCTTCTCCTGCTGGGACTCCTCACCCTCTGGGCAGAGCTGATCCCTGTCTCCAGCCAGAACCGGCCAGGTAGAGCTTTCAGAAAGATCTTGAGACCCTTTGCAGGGAGGGGCTGAAGTGACCAGAGTTTTCCCCCCCCAAAGACCCCCGTCTAGAACCTCTGGCTTGGTGGGGCTTCTTCTGGGGAGGTTCTGGAGATGGTGGTTGGGTGTCAGCTGAGTAGGAGACAGAAATGGGAGGGGGCCCCAAGAAAGAGAGATGCAATTTTAGGTGGGGGCCGACCTATCTCAATTCAATCAGCAGCTGAATCAGGATTTTAAGCAATGGGAACAATCCAGTCATCCATCTGATCCAACCCCCAGGGCAGGAAACCAACTTAAAAGATCCAGATTTCTCTTGACTGCTTGCAATCTGAGCATGCGAAGAGGGCACCAGGTTCGGGAAATACCTTACAGACTTTTGTGCTAGCTAATCAAATAACATCCCCCCCCTCGCCTTTCCATTTGTCACAGAATATTGTTATCTTCCTCCCGACCCCGGACCATGCTACGCCAACTTTCAAGTCTACTACTATGACTCAACTTCAAACGAATGTAAAGTTTTTACTTATGGTGGTTGTTGGGGCAATGCCAACAGGTTTGAGACCAAAGATCAATGCCAGTACACCTGTGTTGGTAAGTAGGGAAGGAGTTGCAGATTGACTTCTGCATTGAAAAAGGATTGTTGTCTCTTAAAATTAAGCATAGGGTAGCTTAATGTAACAGTGTAGTTCTCACAACAGATTATGATCGATTCCATAGAAGTGAATCTTTATCACTCAGGTTGAACTGTGGAATTTTGGTGCTATCTGAGCTTGGAGGAGGAGGGGGGAAGGAGAAGGAGAAGGAGAAGGAGAAGAAGGAGAGTGCAGTCCCTGGTGCTCTCTGAGTGTAGTTATTTTCTTGCAGATGTTTCATGACCCAACTAGAGAACATCATCAGTGCAGCTTAGTGTAGGGTTTGTTCCCTGTTTTGATACTTCAGCTTGCCCTGCAAGTCTTATTTATTTATTGGTTCGATTTATATGCCGCCCTTCTCCGGAGACTCAGGGCGGCTTACAATGGTTTTTAAGCAATAGCCGTCATACTTTTGTATATACCTGCTTAGTAGGGCTTTCGGGCCCCCCCAAGCGGTGTTCTTTTTTATACAAAGTCAGCTTATTGCCCCCACAAACCGGGTCCTCATATTACCTACCTCGGAAGGATGGAAGGCTGAGTCAACCTCGAGCCTGGTGAGATTTGAACTCGCAGCAATTGCAGGCAGCTGGTGTTACTTAACAGTGCTTTAGTCTGCTGCGCCACCAAGGCTCATCCTTGGTGGGAATGTGTTTTTCTTGAGTAGGGAATTATTTTCTGCTGGTTTTTTTGTCCTTATGTGGATGTTGGCATGATGGCTCTATCCTGCCCAGTCTATGAACCACCAAGGACTCAATTCTGAGGGAGCCACTCAGATCTTCAAGCTCCCCATTTAGCCTAAGAACTTCAGGCAACTTCCAGGAGGTCCAAGGAAAGAAGACCTCTCTGGTTGTCCAGCCTCTGCTTGGGGGAGGGTCCTATCTTACCCCCTTCTGTATTTGAGGAGGGGGCTGTGGGAGTCTGCAGAACCAGCACAGAAAGTCTCTGCCTCCCATTCCCTGAAATTCTTCCTTCCTCTTTGATGGAAACCGTGGTTGTGCATGTCCACCGCTGATCCCAGCCAAGAGAGGAGGGGCATTTAGAGTGTCCATCCCCTCCTGAGTCCCGAGTCCTTGCTCTCTTCTAATCAAAACGTTCCTCCTGATTTCAGCTTTGGGTCTCCCTGGGTGTAAGATGAGGCACTGGAGGCCGTTCTGGACAGAAAGCTCATATCTGAACATTTGTTTTTACAGCATCAATAACGAGGAGACCCACCAGAATTGGAACTACTGTTCGAATTTGACCCAAAGACCCTTCTTCTGTCCTGCACCACCCTGGAGACCCTCCCCCCAAACCCCACCCCGGGCTCATTCCTTCTCCTCTGCAATAAAGAATTGGTCCCGGCATCCTTATCTGTCTCAGGTGTCTCCTTGGGCCTCTTTGGGGGGTTTTCTCCCCACTTTGTCAGAGAAAGAGGAGATGAGAGGCAAGATGACTTTCCAGAGGTGATGCAAAGGGGAAGAAGCTCTCGGAGCACAAAATCCCTGAAACTCAGTCCCTACAAAGGGTTTACTCCAGAGTAAGTCTGGGATGGACCCAGAGACTCTGCTACTCGCTGATGGTTCCACATGGATGGTCTGGCTGGAGACAACGAGGCAAATCAGAGAACTTTTTAAGCCTTTTTTTAATTAAGGAGAAGGGGGGGGGAAGAGAAGCGGAAAAAACCCAGGAAAATAAAACAGAATGGTAGGAAAAATATTAGATATGGAAGGATTCTCATGTATGTAGATATTTGTCAGTTTTAAACATATATTATAGCTGTCCACGCAAAATCTCCTTTGCCTGCCACCTGTTCCTAAGTCACCAGTAACTTCATCTCATGGAGAGGGAGGGAAGGGAAGGGATTAGAAGCAGGTCAAGGGTTTTGTGTGAACAAAGCCAGGCATTAATGGTGAGGCCAACAGTTGGTCTGGGATCTCTCAGCTAATCAGAATAAAGCTGGAAGGGACCTTAGAGGTCCAGCTCCTACTCCTACTCAAGCAGGACCCTCTACCATTTCAGACAAATGGCTGTCCAGCCTCTTCCTGAAAACCTCCAGGGATGCAGCACCCACAACTTCTGGTGGCAAGCTGTTCCACTGGTTAATTGTCCTCACTGTTAGGAAATTCCTCCTTAATTCCAGGTTGCTTCTCTCTTTGATCAGTTCCCAGCCGTTGCTTCTTGTCCTGCCTTCTGGTGCTTTGACCCCCTCTTCTTTGGGGCAGCCTCTCAAATACTGGAAGACTGCTATCATGTTCCCCCTAGTCCTTGTTTTCTCTAGACTGGCCAAACCCAAATCCTGCAGCCATTCTTCATATGTTTTAGTCTCCAGGCCTATAAATCATCTTAGTTGCTCTTCTTGGCACTTTTTCCAAAGTCTCGACATCTTTTTGCAATGTGGTGACCAAAACTAGATGCAAATTCCAGGTGTGACCCTAGTAAGGTTTTATAAAGCAGTACAAATACTTCAAGTGATTTTAATTCTATGCATCTGTTTATATAACCAAGGATTGTATAAGCTCTTTTGGCTGCTGCTACACACCACTAGCTCATATTCAAATGATCATCCATTAGGACTGCAAGGTCCCTCTCACAGTTACTGGTTTTGAGTCACATTTCACCTAAACTGTTCTTGTACCTTTGATTTTTCCTGCCCAGGTGTAAAATCTTGCTTAAAAATCTTGCCACATTAAATATCATTTTGTTGAATATGATCCATTGTTCAAATCTGTCAAGATCTTTTTGGATCCTGAGTTTGTCTTCTGGGGTGTTGGCTATTCCTGCCAGTTTAGTGTCATCTGAAAATTTGATGAGTTCCCCTTCTATCCTCTCATCTAAATCATTTATGGAGATAATTGAAGCGTCCTGGGTCTAAGACGGAACCTTGTGGTACCCCACTGCTTACTTCCCTCCATGTAGACGTACATGGTGATGTTGTCTATCCCACTTTTTTTCTAGCTTACCAAGAAGTAGGTTGTGGTCTACTTTGTTGAATGCCTTGCTGAAGTCTAAGTATACTATGTCCACAGCAGTTTTCTGGTCTACTAATTTAGACACTTTGTCAAAGAATGAAATAAGATTGGTTTGGCTTTTAACAAACCCGTGCTAGCTTCTAGTTGTAACCTTACTTGTTTCTAGATGTTCACAGATCTGTTTTTTGATTATTTTTTTCCACTATCTCCCCAAGTATTGATGTTGGGTTGATTGGTCTGTAATTTCCTGGGTCTGTTTTTTTTTTATCCTCTGATAATTCCCCGATGCTCCAGGAGGTACAATAGTTCTGAGATATAATCTGTCAGCTCCTTCAGAACTCTGGGATGTAATCCATCAGGTCCTGGTGACTTATATTCATCAAGATCAGACAGGTGTTCTCTTGCCATTTTCTTGCTTATCTTTATTTTTATTTCTAGTCTGAACTAGCCATTTCTGTAACAAGAAAATTCTTTAATTGGTAAAGCCCAAATCAAAGTTTCATTTTTTTCCCCCTCAAGCACAAAGTCCACCAGCGGTTTCCAAGTAGAAACAAAAGTAATCATTTTTTTTTTTCTTTAATCATAGCTGTCAGTTTAGCCATCTCAGCTAACTCCATCAACTTTTGCAGACTTTCTGCCACTGTGGTCATAAAATGGCCAGCAGGTAGCATCACCTGCCCAGGTGTTTGTGCTCAGATTGTCAGGAAATTCTCCCTCCCCCCAGGTCTCTCTCAGCAAGTCCTTCCCTGCTTGGCCAAGGCAAAGGTCACTCCTGATTTGAGGGCTTCACTGCTTGCTCTGAATGTTCCTCTTTACACAAATCCTCGTGTAACACACCGAACACCGGTGTGAACCACCTTGTTCAAGCCTGTGGTTACAAGGCCTTGGTAAGGCCACACTTGGAATCCGGCATCCAGTTTTGGTCGCCAAAATGTAAAAAAGATGTGGAGACTCTGGAAAGAGCGCAGAGAAGAGCAACAAAGAGGATTTGGGGACTGGAGGCTAAAACTTATGAAGGACGGTTGCAGGAACTGGGCATGGCTAGTCTAGTGAAGAGAAGGACTAGGGGAGACATGATAGCAGTCTTCCAATATCTCAAGAGTTGCCACAAAGAAGAGCCAAATTTCCAAAGCCCCTGAAGGCAGGACAAGAAGCAATGGGTGGAAACTAATCAAGGAGAGAAGCAACTTGGAACTGAGGAGAAATTTCCCGACAGTTAGAATAATTAATCAGTGGAACAACTTGCCTCCAGAAGTCGTGAATGCTCCAACACTGGAACTTTTTAAGAACATGTTGGATCACCATTTGTTTGAAATGGTATAGGGTTTCCTGCCTAAGCAGGGGGTTGGACTAGAAGACCTCCAAGGTCCCTTCCAACTCTGTTATTCTATTCACACGGATCCTCCTTAAAGGACTCTTGTGGCTGTGGTGAAGAGCCCTTCCAGAGAGTGAGAGTTGGAGGATTCTCACCTCTGCCTGAGAAAAGGTGGGGATGGGGTTATTATATTTTATTAATTTATTGCACAATTTTTCTCTTTTATTAGTTTGCTTTATACATGAGGTTTTTATATTCCTGTGAGCCCCCATGTGTGAATAGGTGGCAATAGAAATTTCCTAAAATAAATAAACAAAATTATCACATCTCAGCTTGCCAACGAACTGTGAGGGGAGGGAAAGGGAGACAGAACATGGCCCAGACATCAAGATGTCAGTATGAGAACCAAGGACACTTAGGCAGGTATTTGCAGAAGCCCCAAAGACTTTCCCATAACAATATCCAGAGACGGCATTGGACAATGTGACCTCAGCTAATTGGTGGATGGTAGAATTTGAACTTTAACTAGAGGGATTAGCACAGGAAAGATCTAGATCTGGTTTTGCCTTCAAACATGCCAAAATGATGCACTCAATAAAGTTTTGCATAGAGAGATTGGATTGTCTCGATCGTGCTTGCCTTGGTTGAGTGCGTCTGTCTGTCCATCGGAACCTGGACACATAGAATATCAGAGTGGAAAGGGACCTTTCAGGTCTTCTAGTCCAACCCCCTACTCAAGCAGCAGACCCTGGCCTCTACCATTCCGGATAAATGGCTGTCCATGAATAGGAAGGTTTCCTATTTGTCAAGTATTTGCAAGCCATTGGCACATGTATCATACAGACACTAGTGGAGGCAGAAAGTGCCCCCACCCCTATGTGGAGAGGAGGGGCTTACACTGAGTATAAAACCCCCTCTAACCTTTCCACCAAGCTCTCTTTTACGTTTGTTCTCCATGAGACATGATCTTTGATAGGGGTAGTCACACACACTGTGTGCCCCCTATCCTAATGGATATCAAGACAGCCTTTGTATATAGTTAATATGTTTTGTTATATGAATAAATACATTTATCACATTTATTCATGCATCTGCCTTTGGACTCTTCTATGCTCCTGGGTGTTTCTACGATCCCAATTTCCACAGAATGGTAGCAGAGGGAATGGTAGCAGAACTCCACTCCAGGAGCTGTTGAAAAGGCGAGATGCCTTCCAAAATAACCTGTGAGAGAAGCTCCCCTGTTGTGACCAGAGGCCTTCAACGGAGGAGAACTTCACAGCAGCCCCAGTCTGAATCAACGATGGAAAACATTGAAGGGGGTTTCCATCCAGCTACACCCTGGCAGCCAGAGGCCACCCAGATGCAGCAAGAGATCCCAGGGGCCGAGCCAGGCAATGTTGGAGAAGGCTTCTTCAGCACTGACGAAGAGGGGGCAGAAGGACCGGATGAAAGCCTGGACAGGCAAGTGGCTGAGATGTCAGAAGAGGAGTGCCGAGCAGCGCTGGCCTCCCTCCTGAAGACAAGGGCAGCAGCCAGAAAGAGGCCTGAGGAGGCAGCACCAGAGATGCCTGCCATCCCGGTAAGGACTCCCCTGCCTGATCTCTCCAAGATGGCGCCTGCCGCCAGAGAGACTGCCCCCCCACCCAGTTTCCCGCCAAACAAAATGGCCACCAGGCCACTTCCGGAGGCCACTTCCCCCAAGATGGCTGCTCCCCTGGGCACTTTGCCAGCACCACGAGCCAGGCCATCCCCAGCTCCCCAGCCCAGGCCTACAATGCCAGCCAGTCAGTTCAGCCTTCCAGCGGCCCAGAGGACCACTCCGAACCCACAAGCCCCTTGCCAGGCCCCGCCTGCCACGGCAAACATCAAAGAGGCCATAGAGGCCCTGGTCGCTGCCCTGCAACTTATGGAGCAACCACCCACTGGCCCCCCCCGAGGCCCCAGACCCAGCTGCCCACTCAAGGAGGGCCCCAAATCCAACCTCCCACCCCCGGAGGAACCCAGATGGACCTGCAGCCTCCCACTTTCCACTGCAGAGGCGCTCACCAT